GAATATTGAGAGGGATGGGAGAAATCTTCATCATAACAAATTGAAGAAACTTTTGTCACGGCTGTGTAGGGAGCTCCACCGAAGGCCCCAATGGCACCGCCCTCATGCGTCCCACACACACACACACACACACACACACACACACACGCACGCACGCACGCACGCACGCACGCACGCACGCACGCACACACACACACACACACACACACACACACACACACACACACACACACACACACACACGCACGCACGCACGCACGCACGCACGCACGCACGCACGCACGCACGCACACACACACACACACTCTCACACACTTTTGCATTTTCGCATACCTGGTACAGCGCTGCATGGCACCATAGGGAGCTCCACCGAAGCCCCCAGTGGGACCGTCCACGTGCGTCCCGAAAAACCAATGCGGCACTTTCACCCACCCAGTAAAGCGTTTCGTGGCCCCATAGGGAGCTCCACCGAAGCCCCAAGTGGGACCGCCCGCATGCGTCCCACACGCCCAATTTGGCATTTTCACCCACCCAGTGCAACGCTTCGGGGCCCCATAGGGAGCTCCACCGAAGCCCCCAGACGGGACCGCCCGCATGCGTCCCGGAAACCCAATTTGGCATTTTCACCCACCCAGTACAGCGCTTCGTGGCCCCATAGGGAGCTCCACCGACGGCCCCAGTGCTACCGCCCACATGCGTTCCCCCCCACCCAGTGCAGCCCTTCGTGGCCCCATAGGGAGCTTCACCGAAGAAGATGTTCACAATTGCGGTGCCCACAACCGCATATGGTATATGGTTGGGTCCTTCGCCAAAATAGTTTCACAACGTCGACCCCCAGAGGTCTGCACCCCTTCCCAGGGACCCGTTTTTCGCCCTGAGTCGTTTTTTGACGGCCCCGAGCCCCAGTAAGGGCCCCCGGAGGCCGAAGATAACGAAAAAACTCCCGTCGCAATATGTTTCACAACGCGAGGAGGTCTGGGGTAGAGGTATGGGTGCTTTTTCTCCCCCTAAACCCGTCCTCCTCCTCCTCCTCCTCCTCCTCCTCCTCCTCCTCCTCCTCCTCCTCCTCCTCCTCCTCCTCCTGCTCCTCCTAGTCCTCGTCCTCGTCCTCGTCCTTTTCCTCCTCCTCCTCCTCCTCCTCCTCCTCCTCCTCATCCTCCTCCTCCGACTCCGAGGACCTCCTCGCACGAGGCGCCCGAGGAGATCGCCGAGAGGCACGCAGCCCGCGCGCCGGTAGCGTCTGGTTGGGCTGCACCCGCCGGACGAGCAGGCCGTCCCTGCGCAGCTCCCTGCGCTCGGCGGCGAGCCCGGGGGGGAGGAGGGGAGGAGGGGGGGGGGAGGAAGAGGAGGAGGAGGAGGAGGAGGAGGAGGAGGAGGAGGAGGGAGGAGGAGGAGGAGGGGGAGGGGAGGGGAGGGGGAGGAGGGGAGGAGGGAGGAGGAGGAGGATGAGGAGGAGGAGGAGGACGAGGAGGAATAGGAGGAATCGGAATCGGCCCCATCGCGGTGCGAAGAAGGAGGAATAGGAGGAGGAGGAGGAGGAGGAGGAGGAGGAGGAGGAGGAGGAGGAGGAGGAGGAGGAGGAGGAGGAGGAGGACGAGGAGGAGGGAGGATGGGGCGGGGGAAGGGGAGGCTGAGGAGGAAGTCCTGAGCTCCAGCGCTCTGCGGGGAGAGTCCTGGCCACGCGCTCTCCCCAGCAGTCGCCGACCAGAGGACACAAGGGCACCCTTGAATTGGAAAGGTCGACCTGCCATCGTCGATGCACTGGTGATGCATCGTCGACGTGGGCGGTGCACCGGCGACGTCGGCGTCAAGCAAATTGGGCTCCACATCGCCGATGCATCGGCGATGCGGCGCGATCCTCCGACCCTATCTGCTCCGAGCCCATCCAGGAGGCCTAGATTGATTTGGAAGGGTCGACCAACTTGTCGAGCTCGACTTGCACGATTTCCCCCAGGGCCGTAGGCGACCCGAGGAGGAGGACGAGGAGGAGGAGGAGGAGGAGGAGGAGGAGGAGGAGGAGGAGGAGGAGTGGAGTCGACGCTGCCTCGGTGAACTGCTAGGACGATGCCCATGCAGAGACAGGAGAATCACGTTGATCATACGAGACTGGTTTGCTAGCTACGCGGACGCTGTATAAAAATGAATGACAGAGCTAAGATCCCGCACAAGGGCCTGTCAGCCTCCTACTCAGCCAAAGCTCTTCCATATCTTGCCATAGTTTGGGGTCTTGCGCCTTCTCCTTCCATTCTTTCCCCAGGAATTGTGCGAAGCGCATCTCCCACCTTCATACCCGAAACTTCCTCCCGTGGCATTGCTGTCCGTAGTTCGTCTCCAGGAAAGTGAGGCAGTTAACGTTTCTTCAATGTAAAGGTTTCCATGCCAGCCGGTCCACTTGGTGCTTGCCAAATCTTGTCACATGGCCCGCCAAGTCGTAGACTCTGGATAAGCAGACCTTGTCCCATCGTTCCAGGCCGAGCTCGTCCGTCAGCTTGTTCCGGGGCCTGTTGACGAGGCACATCTGGTCCCCCAGCAGGTCCTCCTGGAAATCCTCAGAATCGTCCGCCTCCGACCCCTCCGCTGCCCCGGCATCGTCGCCCCGGACGCCTCTCCCCAGAGGGGGACACTTCCAGGGGACCTTCCTCCTCAGAACCCTGCTCTCCATGACGATCTGGGTTGCCCGGATGCTCTGCAGGTGCCTCTGTGTCAGGTGCAGCACGCCGATGTTGAACGTGATGGCCGGGAGGACCACCTCGTGCAGGAGCCGTAAACGTTTCGCCGCCGTGCCAGCCTTCGAGCAAATCAAACGGCGGTGCTTAGCGAAAGCGTTCCAAGCTGCCTGGAGTCTCCTTTCAACCTCAACCGAAGCGTGATTATCGAAGGTGTGCACATGCCCCAAGACCTTGAACCCTTCCTCCCTCGGCGTAAACGGGATCGCGCGCCTCGGACGAGCAATGTTCCCGCTATTGCGGCGAGGTCGACTCGGTCTGGGCTGGCAACTCCCGTCCGGGGGCGCCCAGAAGTCCTGCAGGGCGAGGTCTACTGTCTGATCGACCGTCGCCGACCAGGACACCGCGGATAGATCAACCCACCACCCGTGGTCTCTACATACTGCCACTCGTCAGTCATGGCCTGGAGCACGGCGCGAGTGCGGCCTACGATCCAATAGTTGTCGGCGAAGACAAGCAGCGGGAGGCGGGCATGCCGCTTCTTGGACTCCGCGCCATCGAAGTCCGCAGGGAAGCACCAATCGTTTCTCTCACAAATGTCTAAGAATTGCCGTATCAAAACCTGCTCCGTGATTACGTTGCACTTCCTCGGACCGTCCGGATCTCCCTGGTGAATCGATCTGGTACGCTCCAATGGTCTAGACGGCCGTACTCTCGGCAAGCAGAGTCTCCTTTGCCTCGCCGGACCTCCCTGATCATGCCTGCCCTGATTATGTCCGGAACGCCTGCGAATTTGAAGGCGTGGTTCCACACGCCGTGGTCGATGCAGTCGTAGCACTTGTACAAGTCCCCATCGGCAACATACAAGGGCCTGTTGAACTCGAGGGCCTTCTCGGTCAATTGCCTGAGGATGAAATGCACCTCCGCTGTTTGATGACCTGGCCTGAATGCGAATTGGTTCGGAGATAGCCGGACCCGCGCCAATCCACCGAGGTCGGAAATGATGATCAGGTACGCTTTAAGAAGGACAGGTAAAACCGCGATCGGGCGCGACTGCTTGATGGAGCTGGGATTCGCGACTTTTTCGATGAGGTACACGTCGTGCTCATCCCATGGAGACGGTCCGTCCATAGCCGAGTCGTTCAAGAAACGTAGTTCGAAGAGCGCCGCAACGATCTCGAACAACTCCTCAGACGCCTCCTGGAACATCTCCACCGTAACCATCTCATGCCTAGGGCAAGGCTTCCCTCTCTTAATGGCGTGTATGGCTTGCCTGACCTTGGCCCCCGTGATCCTCCCCACTTGACTCAATTCCTCGGTGCAGGTCCTCGAAAAACACCTCCGCTATCAAGACGATCTCGTCTGGCTCCGACGTGAGAAGCCTTTGAGCATTGAGCAACTGGCCTTGCCACGTTGAAGGTGGTACCGAAGCCTCTCTCCTCCCGGCTTGCAGCATCCATGCACATTCATGTTCAAAGCGGGCCTGCTACACTCGACGACGAAGCATGACTTCTGATAGACAGAAAAAGTGCCGAACCCGAAGATTACTAGCGCTTCTCCGTAACAGCTGGCAAGCCCGCAATGGATCCTGAAGTTCGCCATCGACTTTGGCTGGGGGAGGGCGTTTACACCAACGATGCCCCCATCGATCTCCCGCTGAACGTACCAATGCAGTCAGTTCCCCTATGGTAAGGAGGGGCCTGCCGAACTCATCCGTGAGCGGGTGGAACGTGAGGTCTGCCAGCTCGCACTCGTTGTGAACCGCCTGCTCGTGGTCGTCGTTCAACGGGCCCTCTGGCGCCTGCAGGACTGCCGCGCAGCGATCGCCTCGATGCCGTCTGCGCTTCGGACTTGGCAGCACGCGAGGTACTCGTATTGGGCGACAATCGACTGGGCGAACCTCGGGGGGACCGTCCAAGTCGGCGCCTCGATGTCCGGAGCTGTCCACGATGCCATCTTCTCCAACCATCTGTGGTGGGGCCGCGTTGGGGTCGAACACGGCCTCGAGGTGAGTCGCGCTCGGTGGAGGAGGAGGGGGAGGAGGAGGACGACGAGGAGGAGGAGGAGGAGGAGGAGGAGGCGGAGGAGGAGGAGGAGGAGGAGGAGGGGGAGGAGGAGGAGGAGAGGAGGAGGAGGAGGAGGAGGGAGGAGGGGGAGGAGAGGGGGAGGAGGAGGGGGAGAAGGGGAGGAAGGGGGAGGAGGAGGAGGACGACGAGGAGGAGGAGGAGGAGGGGGAGGGGGAGGAGGAGGGGGACGGGTCGCCTAAGCCCGTCGGAGGACCCCTCCAGCTCGGCTGGGCCTCTCGCTCGCCCCCCGGGGTGGCTCACCGCCGGCCTGCGCACCCGCAGGGGCAGGTCGCCCACGGTGAGCACCACGAACGCGCGCCGCAGGGGGGCGTCCGCCGCCCGCACAGAGTGCGCGAGGGTGCGGATGACCTCCGGGTTCGGGGGCGCGCGGGGTCTGAGGGGCAACGACAGAAGGGGGAGGCATGATGATGATGGTGATGATGATGATGATGATGCTGATGCTGATGCTGCTGATGATGCTGATGCTGATGCTGATGCTGATGCTGATGATGATGATGATGATGATGATGATGATGATGATGATGATGCTGATGCTGATGCTGATGCTGATGGTGATGGTGATGATGATGATGCTGCTGGTGAAGATGGTGGTGATTCTGATGATCAGTATCGTTAACATCATGATCGTCAGCAGCAGCATCACCACCATCATCATCATCATCAGCATCACCATCAGCATCACCATCAACATCATCATCAGCACTATCAGCATCAGCAGCACCATCATCAGCATCCTCATCCACATCATCATCGTCGTCGTCCTCATCATCATCAACATCATCACCATCATCATCATCATCATCAGCATCATCATCATCATCATCACCATCAGCATCAGCCTCATCATCATCATCACCATCATCATCATGATCATCATCATCATCACTGTCATCATCGTCATCGTCATCATCATCACCATCATCATCATCATCATCATCAGCATCATCAACATCATCATCTGCATCATCATAATCATCGGGGGGGGCATCGACCTCGAATGGCCGATGCCTCGCCCGTGTGTCGTCGGTTCATCGTCTGTGCGGACCGTCCCCTATGCTTCGTCTCTGCATCGTCGACGCACCGCCCTGATGCCAACGCTGCATCCTCGAGGCATCGTCGATGTGCTCCACCAGTCGAGGTTCGAGGTCGGTGCATCCCCCCCCTATAGGCCTATCCCACCCCCTTGGGCCCCCCCAGCGGTGCGGTGGCCACGCCGCCCAGCGAGACTCGAGGACGGGTATCCGCCAGCATCGAAAATCGAGAACTCGGGTTGAACAGCGTCGGAACTCGGGTGTGAACATCGGACCATCCGCCAGCATCGAGAATCGAGTGGCGTCGGATCGGGCCGCATCGGCATGGAGTCGAGATCAAAGCGGGTCGGCTGCACCAGGACGCACAACGGCGCCATGGAAGCACCTGGGGAAACCAAGAGGCACCGATGCCGCTGCCCCCCAGGGCCTCTCCCGGGGTGCGCTCTGGCCAGGATGTCGAGGCGAATCCAGCGGTGGCGACGAGGGCTGCCCAGGAGGCCCAAAAAGGGGGCAACGGGCGAGGGGTAGAGGTAATTATGGGTACTCCAGATTTCGTAATAAAGGGAGGGGGGTCTCATTTCGGGGGGGGTCTCTTCCAGGCTATCTTGGAGGGCCTGGGGGGGTCTGGTCTGGGGACGATGTTTTGGAGGGTTCTCCCACGGGGGAGGTCTGAAATGGCTTGTCTTGGAGGGTCCAGACCCCCTCCCTTTTATTACGAAATCTTGAGTAATTATGGGTACATCTTCCTTCTTTGGGCATCGGGCCGCCTCGGATCTCCAAGGAGTCGAGATCGGGTCGGATCGGAGCGGCCGACCCTGGCATCGAGCCGGATCGACTGGAACGAACCTGGAGGGCGTCTTCGGGTTAGCATGATGAGCCTCTGTTCCACCACCACCACCACCACCACCATAAGTTGGAGGGGGAGGGGGTCCTCCTCCTCCTCCTCCTCCTCCCCTCCTCCTCCTCCTCCTCCTCCTCATCATCATCATCATCCTCCACCTCCTTCCCCCCTCCAACTTATGGTGGTGGTGGAAATAGGCCCATCATAGCAGACCGAACACGGGAGTTTGGGGCAGTTCACGAGATCGTCCCGAGCGCCTGGGGGCTCCAAAGGGGTCTGGCAACAGACCGTCTGCGGGGCCTTCGGGCTGTCGGACACAGCGGACGGTCGGTCGCAAGACGGTCTTCCTTCGGACCCCTGTACCTGGGACCCCCTTCACCCCCCTTGCCTCTCAAGGCCGCTGCTCACATGCTGCAGGACTGCCACAGAGCTCTACAGAGCGAGGGCACCACAACAAAACGAAGCAGCGAGAAGGCAAAGAAAGCTGCCCCAGAGGAATTTTTGGGCTCTGGGGCTACAGTGGATCTCGAGCTGGCCCGAATGGAGCCGCAGGACGATGTCGAGGGCTCCAAACTCTTCTGATCGCGGCTCCGGGGGGTGGCACGTGAGCCCAACCAGAAGAGAGCGACCTTCCTTCTCATCCATCCTCCTTCTGCTGCTCCTCCTCCTCCTCCTCCTCCTCCTCCTCATCATCATCATCATCATCATCATCATCATCGTCATCATCATCATCATCATCATCATCATCATCATCATCATCATCATCCCTCCTCTCATCCTCAGGATCCTTCACGCCCTTCTTATCGATCCCGCTTGGTCAAAAGTCGGGCCTGCCGTTTTGCCTGAGGCCTCCTACAGCTTCTTCGTTGGAGGAATGGTCGTGATCACAATGCGGCTTTCGCCTTGGCACCAAGCACTTTGATTTAACATGTGACCAATGGGTATACGGATGGAAGGACGGTCGTTTTCAAAATACGGCTCTCGTCTGAGAGCAACGCACATACATGTTCAGAACCTCCAACAACTACTAGGGTGGAGGGCCGGTCGGGTTTCAAAATGTGGCTCTCGCCTCAGCGCCGCGCAAATCCCTGTACAGGGTTTCGACAGCTACGAGGATGGATGGCCAACGCTTTTCAACATGGTTCTCGCCGCAACGCCGCGCAAATTTGTGGTATTCTTCCCCGAGCGCGTTTCTTTATGATCGGCGATGACGGGCGTCATGAGGGGGGGGGGGGCAAGGGGGAGTTATGACGTAACGCTCCCCCCCCCGCCGTGTGGCTCCGGAACCACAGCCGCGCCCGCGCGCACGATGCGACGAGCAACGAGCGACGAGCGACGACGACGATGACGACGCGAGCAGCATGTAGGTGGCGATCTGCCCCACTGCGCCTGTGTACACCACAACGCTCGCGTGCACCACAGCGCGCGTGTACACCACAGCGCCGGCGTACACCGCAACAACCGTGCGCAACGCAGCGCCTGTGTACACCACAATGCTTGCGTACACTACAGCGCCGGTGTACATGTGTACACCGCAGCAACCATGTGCAACACAGCGCCTGTGTACACCACAATGCTTGCGTGCACCGCAGCGCCTGTGCACGCCACAGCGCCTGTTTACACCACAACATCCGCGTGCAACGCAGCGCTGGTGTACACCACTGCGCCTGCGTGCGTAGGACAGGTAGAGCGGGCATGTATGTGAGGATCTGCTGCGGACAACTAAACGCCATGCCTGGAAAGTGCTGATAATCGAATGCGACGTTGTTCCCTCCTCCCTCCTCCTCCACCTCCACCTCCTCCTCCTCTTCCTCCTCCTCTTTTTCCTCCTCCTCCTTACCCGATGTCGTGCGGGTTGGCGCTACAGCGCACGTGCGCATCCCAGCGTGCACCGCAGAATGGTCTATTGAATCGGTCCACTTGGTTCTCGGACGGCCAATTTAGCTGGAGCCTCCTGCACGCAGATGGGAGGAGTTAGGGTGGTGCTGGCGGACTCGGGAGGACTTGTAGATTGCAGCGGCGCTCTTTTGTCCATAAGGATTCCTTTTTATTGTTTTCAGTGGAATCCACAAGCACTCCATTTTGTCATAAGGATTCCTTATAACATTCAATGTGCAGCAGTGGCGCTGTGTTGCACACGGTTGCTGTGGTGCCAACAGGCGCCGTGGAGCACACGGGCACTGCAATGCACGCAGGCATTGTGGTGTACACTGGTGCTGTGTTGCACACGGCTGATGTGGTGTACGCAGGCCCTGTGGTGTACACAAGAGCTGTTGTGCCCGCAAGCACGGTGGCACAAACTGACGCTGTGTTGCACGCGGCTGCTGTGGTGTACATCGGCGGTGTGGTGTGCACAGGCGCTGTGGTGCACGCAGGCACTGCGGTGGACACAGGCGTTGTGGTGCATATCGCCACATATATATATACATATATATATATATATTATACATATATATGCATGCTGGTGCTACCCGTCCTCCGCCATTCCTAAGCATTCCCAGACGCCGCCGGATCGAAACGTGACGTCATCGACCCACTCCACCCCCCTCCCAGATGATTGCCGTCATCGGCCCGGATTTACAAAAAAGGCTCCAACCGCGTCTGCGCAAGCCACGACGACGATGAGCTACGAGCGACGGGCCACGAGCGACGACGACGACGACGACGATGACGACGACGACGACAACGGACCAGACTCTTTTGCGGATTCCTGCGCGGACACCTGCGCGGATCCCAATGCGCACGGCGGCAATGCCCGGAGCGCACTGGGGGGGAGCGTTACGTCATGAGGGGGTGGGGGGGGCGGGGGCCATGACGCCCGTCATGGCCCATGCCCCAATACTTTTCAACATGGTTCTCGCCTCGGCGCCGCGCCAGTTTGTCGTATTCTTCCAAGGAGCTACAAGCATGGAGGCTAGTTCGTTTCCATACATTCCCAGGACGGAAGTGTTTTCCTCTTGGGCCGGGAACGACGGCTGCAAGTCTTGAGCAAACGCGTGTGAGATAACCGCCGTCGGACCCCACGAAGTTCGCACGGATCCAAGTGTGGCGTTGGTATTTGTTTCGGTGGAGACGATTTCCGTCCGCGCGGAGCCGACTTCGGATTTGGATCCGTGTTCGGTCTTACCTTTTTACGACGGATCCGATGTGTACCCCTTTTGACATGTTTGTGATCGACGAAATCAAACGGGGAACCGGAGAAAATCGGATCCGCAGACCCCAGAACCCGCCCGTGTTAAGATTCTACGGGGGAAGGGGGCTCGGCCATTCAATTCGAAGTCATCATCGCCATTTGCACCTCAAGAGGAAAATCTTCCGTCCTGCGTAAGTGCGCTTCCGCCCTGCGTCTCCTGACCCACAAGGCTGCCTGTGAGATGTGGTGTGTCGGCTATGTGGTAACCAACAACGGACTGCCTGTGAGCTGTGGTGTGTCGGCGATGCGGTAACCAACAAGTCCGAAGGCTAAAACGCCCAGTGCGTTTCGGCCTTGCGTCTCCTGACCCAACGGACTGATTGTGAGATGTGGTGTGTCGGCTATCAGTGCGTTTCGGCCCTGTGTCTCCTGGCCCATCGGACTGATTGTGAGATGTGGTGTGTCGGCTATGTGGTAACCAACAACGGACTGCCTGTGAGATGCGGTGTGTCGGCTACGTGGTAATCAGCCAGTCCGAAGGCCAAAACGCCCATCCCCAGGACGAAAGTGTTTTCCTCCTGGGCCAGGAACGACGGCTTCAAATCTTGAGCAGACGCGTATGAAATAGCCGCCGTCGTATTCCCATGAAGTTCGCACGGATCCAAGTGTGGCGTTGGTGGTTGTTTCGGTGGATCTGATTTCCGTCCGCGCGGATCCGACTTCGGATTTGCTGGATCTGTGTTCGGCCTTACCTTTTTACGGCGGATCCGATGTGTACCCCGTTTGAAATCTATATTATCAAATCGGATCGGAGGAAATCGGATCCGCGGACCCTGGAACCCGCCCGTGTTAAGATTCTACGGGGGAAGGAGGCTCGGCCATTAAATTCGAAGTCATCATCGCCATTTGCACCTCAAGAGGAAAACCTTTCGTCCTGCGTAAGTACTGCGGCTCTCGCTTGAGATCTCAACAACACCGACTATCCGAAATTCAATATTGCGAAGCTGCTACTCGGATACAGGGCGGCTCCTGTTCAAAATGAATACAGTGCAGCCCGAATTAGGATAACGCTTCCTAAGCGCCATTGTTGGGCATTGCTTGGCATTGCATTGCCTTGCTTGGCAATGCTTGGCTTTGCAATGCCTTGCGTTGCTTGGTACTGCTTGGCATTGCTTGGCAATTGTACACATTGCTTGGCATTGCTTGGCTTTGAATGGTTTTGCTTGACGTTGCTTGGCATTGCGTTGCATTGCGTTGCATTGGTTGGCGTTGCTTCGCATTGCTTCGCACTGCTTTTGCATTACTTGGCGTTGTTTGGCATTGATTCGCAAGGCTTGACACCGCTTGGCATATATTTGCACTGCTGTGCATTACTTTGCATGGCTAGGCTTGTTTGGCATTGCTTCGCATCGCTTGGCATTTACACGAGTTGCTTGGCATTGCTTGGCATTGCTTGAAATCAAAAGGAAAATACCAAAAGACACGGAGAACCTGGGGAACCCGAGGAAGGCCAGCTTTCAAAACCAGTGAGGAAACAAAACCAAAGGGACCAGGGAAGCCAGGGACACCCGAGGAACGCGAGGAAGGCGAGCCTTTCAGAAATAATGTGGTGGTCGGGACCTCCAAAATAGGAGGAGGAGGAGGAGGAGGAGGAGCAGGAGGAAACGAGGAGGAGGAAATGAGGAGGAGGAAATGAGGAGGAGGAGGAGGTGGGAACAAGGCCAGCGGGCCTGGGGAGCCCCAGAGCACCCGAGCAACGCCACTGCACAGGAACAGCATCCGGGGCCCCTGGGACCCCGGAAAGCCGCGGGGACCAGCAGCGCGAACGGGCGCCGCGCCCACTCGTTTCACAAACTTGTTCTGTTATCTTCATTCCACAGTCAAGCCGTATATTAAGGACGCGTGGCAAGGACGCAAGACCCTTGGAGGCTGAAGTTGGGATTTTGTTGGGCGGCGGCGACCAGCGAAAACGGCAAAGGACGGGCCACAGAGGCAAGGACGCAAGGGTATCCTAGATGAAGGCGCGCGTCCTTACTAGGCGCGTTGACTGTATTCTTGAAAGCACATGACAAACCTCAGGCAAAGCCTAATTCGTGAATGAGACTCTAGCTTGAAACCTCCGCACAACTGATGACCATAGTCACGAAATGACGCAACACTGACGCGGATGGAGGGCTCATCCTTCCCAAAGCGGAGCTATCGCCGGAGCTTGTCATCCTAGCTCTTTGCATTCCTGTTAGCTAGAAACGTGGGATGCGGTTCCTTTGTAATGCCGGGTCTCGCCCGAGTGACAAGCCAACTGGGCGCACGTCCTTCCAGGGGGCGCAAGGGGCACTCGTGAGGACATTTGCAGAGGGGCCTTGGGGCTGGAGGGTGTGTTGCAGCATCGCTGACGCATCCTGGGCTGACCCCTGGTATCCTGCCTCCTCCTCCTCCTCTTTCTTTCCTTCGTGGTCCTCATCACCCCTGCTCCTCATCCCTCCTCCTCGCTCTCATCCTGCACCTCACCATGTCTTCCTGATCCTCCTCTTCGAGAACTGCTGGATGACCTCGGAATACAACATCGCGGCATCGGCAGCTCGTTTACCAGCGCCTCCCCACAGGAATGTGACCTGGGCCGCGAGGCGAACCACGGCAGAGACCGCCGCAAAAGATGGCAGCTCCAATCCTCCTCTCGCATCCTCCCTGAGATTCCACGTCGCAGACAACACACGACCAAGGCCCTCGAATACATCTTTCTGCAGCATCTCTGGAGCCAGATTCACCCCTGAGGATCCCAGGACCCGAAACAAGAACTAATCCAAGTCGTATTTTTCACGCCGACTGGATGCCAGGGTGTGCCAGTTCTCTCGCATCCGGCCTACGCCCAGTGCTGAGGCCGGAAAGCGAAACGATGGGTTGTGCTGCAGAGGCTACGTCTCGGTGCGCGGAACTCCGCGGGGCTGCTCCACTATCGCCCTTGTAACGGCGGGAATGCGCACATTTTCCCGGAAAGGGCTCAGGCCCAGGGTTCTCTTTTAGTTGGTAAACCTGTCCCCCGGTGCCAACTTGAAGGAGGCCGGCGGATTCTTTCCCTGATAAATATCGAGGTCGAAGGAGGCCGGCGGATTAAAATTTGAGGATGTCTCAGGCGAAACGCTTGTTTTTGAAATCCCGATCGATAAATCACAGGGTGCGGGCCACCTCAGCACGACCACACCTCAGCACGACCACGCCCCAGCACAACCACGCCCCAGCACGACTACACCCCAGCACGACCACACCCCAGCACGACCACACCCCAGCACGACCACACCCCAGCACGACCACACCCCAACACGACCACACCCAAGCACGACCCGATTGATAAATCACAAGGTGCGGACCACCCCAGCACGACCCCACCCCAGCACGACCCCACCCAAGCACGACCACGCCCCAGCACGACCACACCCCAGCACGACCACATCCCAGCACGACCACATCCCAGCACGACCACACCCCAGCACGACCACACCCCAGCACGACCCCACCCTAGCACGACCCCACCCCAGCACGACCCCACCCCAGCACGACCACCCCCCAGCACGACCCCACCCCAGCACGACCCCACCCCAGCACGACCACACCCCAGCACGACCTCTCCACAGCACGACCCCACCCCAGCACGACAACGCCCCAGCACGACCACGCCCCAGCACGACAACGCCCCAGCACGACCACACCCCAGCACGACCACCCCCCCCAGCACGACCACCCGACCACCCCCCAGCACGACCACCCCCCAGCACGACCACACCCCAGCACGACCCCACCCCAGCACGACCCCACCCCAGCACGACCACACCCCAGCACGACCACACCCAGTCGCACCCCTGTGGAATGTTTCGTGGGGTGTCTGGTTGAGTGGTTACCTGTTCGTGGGGTTTCTCGTGGAATGTTTCACGGGGTGTCTCGTGGAATGTTTCGTGAGGTGTCTCGTGGAATGTTTCGTGAGGTGTCTCGTGGGATGTTTCGCGGCATGTCTCGTGGGATGTTTCGTGTGGTGTCGCCCAGTTGGATATCGTGAAAACGTGACCATGCTGCACATGTCTATATCCCTTTCCGGGTTCGTGGGTCCATCATGTGGTGCCTCTTGGAGGCCTCCTGTGGGCTTCATGGGTCCTCTTAGGAACTTCTTGGGTTCTCTTGCAAGCTTCTTTTGGGGCCTCCTGGGGGCGTCTTGGGCCGTCTTGGGGCGCTCTTGCGCCGTTGCGGGCTGTGTCGCTGGGGCCTTTGGTGGAGCTCCCTGTGGAGCCACGAAACGTGTGAGGGGTGTGCCGAAATGGGGGTGTGGCCCACATGCGGGCTGCGCCCCTGGGACCGTAGGTGGAGCTTCCTGTGGGGCCACGAACCGTGTGAGGGGTGTGCCGAAAGGGGGTGTCGCCCGCATGCGGGCTGTGACACTGGGGCCTTGGGTGGAGGTCCCTTTGGTGCCACGAACCGTGTGAGGGGTGTGCCGACACGGGGATTGCGCCCACATGCGGGTGCGCTACCGTAACCTCAGGTGGAGCTCCCCATGAGGCCACGGAACGTAATGGGGCCACGAAACGTTTGAGGGATGTGCCGACATGAGGGGTGGCGCCTACATGCAGGCTGCGCCATTTGGGGCTCAGGTGGAGCTCCCCATGGGGCCACGAACCGTGTGAGGGGTGTGCCGACGGGCTCACAGAAAGCAGAACCAGCCGAGTTGGCCCGGTAGGGCCACTCGGCGCCCAGTGCCGCTGATCCGGGAGGGCTCCCGATGGTGCTCGGGTTCGCTTGGAGGCCTACGGGGCCGTCTTGGGGCCCTCTTGGGGCAGTCGTAGGATGAGGCCTCTTGAGGGGGTCTTTGTGCCTTGGGGGCTCCTTGGAAGCTTTTTTGGGTGTCTTAGTGCGTTCCTGGCCCGTCGGACGCCGTCGGGAGCCGTCTTGGCCGCCTTGCTGTGCCATCTAGGAGTACTGGGGGTACTTCAGGGCCGTCTTGGAGGCTGTCCTGGCCGTCTTAGGGGCCTATGCGGCCGTCTTGAGACCTTCTGGGGGCCGTCTCAGGACCTCTTGGGCCGTCATAGGGCCATCTTGGAGGCATCTGGGGCGATCTTGAGGGCCTCTGGGGCCGTCGGAAGGCCGAAAAGAATGAAGCGCCCAAGTCCTTCAAAGCATTTAGAAAATCAATGGTTTGGGCCTCTTCGGCTCCTTTTCCCCGAAAGGGCGCCGGCCCAGGGTTCTGTTTTAGTTTTGTTCCCCATATACTAAGATGGGGTTATTCTTTCCCATATCCTAAGATTGGGTACTTGTTATTACTCTGACCGCGCCGGACCCTTCTCACCCCTCCCCTCCCTCCTCCTTCTCTTCACCATGGTATGGTGAGAGTATGATGTGAGTATGATGGTGATGGTGAATGATGGATGTGTATGATGATGCTGCTGATGACGATGCTGCTGATACTGATGCTGGTGCTGATGCTGCTGCTGCTGCTGCTGATGCTGCTGATGATGATGATGATGATGATGACAATGAGCATATGATGATGATGGTGGTGGTGATGATGCTGATGCTGCTGCTGCTGCTGCTGATGATGATGATGATGATGATGATGATGATGATGATGAGCAGATGATGAGGATGTCTCGAGCAGTTTGCTGGTTTCAGCCCTCCCCCCAGCAGGGCTGCAGCTCCGGCTGTAGGCTGTAGATTAGGCTCTTCGGAACTCACACGCCGGATCTGCGGATTTCACTCATGAGATTCTCGACCGCGGTTTCTTCAAATGCTCTTGATATCCTCCTCCTCTCCTGGATGTCCTCTTCCTCCTCCGTTACTGATTCCTCGCGTCTTGCTGGAGGCTGTCTGCTTGCGATAGATGCTTCTGGTTTCCCCGTGCGCATATGCATGCGGCAGATTGCTCCAGCTCCGTTGTCGCCTGTTTTTCCCGGACAGGACTCTGGCCCAGGGTTCTTTTTTAGTTGGTTACCCCCCCGGCCTCGACTTGAAGAGGGCCTGCGGAAGTATTCTGCGATAACTAACGAGGTCGAAGAGGGCTGGCGGAATTATCTTTGAGGGTGTCCCGAACGAAACGCATGTTTTGCAGAACTTGTTGAGGACGTCTCGAGCGAAACGCTTGTTTTGTGTTATAGATTGTCTTCTCCTGGGGACCAGAATTCAGATGATGTCTCAGGTGACATGCTTGTTTTCACGTGCCCAGGTCTTGAGGCTGTCTCGAGCGAGACGCTTGGTTTCGCGCGTCCAGGTTGCCCAGGCAGATGTCTAGCATGAGGATTTGTTGAGGATGTCTCGAGCGAGACGCTTGATTTCACGCGTCCAAATCGCCCAGGCGGATGTCTAGCATGAGGATGTGTTGAGGAAGTCTCGATCGAGACGCTTGTCTTCACGTGTCCATGTCGCCCAGGCGGATGTCTAGCATGAGGATGTGTTGAGAAGGTCTCGAGCGAAACGCTTGTTTTCTCGTGCCCAGGCAAGATCTGTTGAGGATGTCTCGAGCGAACCACTTGTTTTCACGTGTCCAGTTCGCCCAGGCGGATGTCTAGCATGAGGACGTGTTGAGGATGTGTTGAGCGAAACGCTTGTTTTCACGTGTCCAGGTCGCCCAGGCGGATGTCTAGCATGAGGATGTGTCGAGAAGGTCTCGAGCGAAACGCTTGTTTTCTCGTGCCCAGGGAAGATGTGTTGAGGATGTCTCGAGCGAACCACTTGTTTTCACGTGTCCAGTTCGCCCCAGGCGGATGTCTAGCATGAGGATGTGTTGAGGATGTGTTGAGCGAAACGCTTGTTTTCACGTGTCCAGGTCGCCCAGGTGGATGTCTAGCATGAGGATTTGCGCAGGATGTCGCGAGCGAAGCGCTTGTCCCCAGCACGTTGCGTAGCGCGTCCCCATGGCACGTCCCGCGGTGCGTCCCCATGGCCCGTCCCCTGGCGCGTCGCCTGGGGCGTCCCTTGGGACGTTCCTCGGCGCATCCTCCTGGCATGTCCCCCTGTCAATTAGCTCTGGAGCAGCTTCTATGTGCTCAGGCAGCTCGAGCTTAAGATCCAGATCAGTTCGGTCAGGACTCGGATGCAAAGGAGGACTCGATCCACAACGCTATATAGAGCACAATCGCGGCATGGCATATCGCAATTCAGCACGGCGCAGCGCAGCACAGCCGTCGGCACGGTACATCAAGATCGATACACTCAGCATTGCATTTGCCCGTCGCCCAATCAGATGCCTTTGACCACGCTGCTATGCCTTACATTTCTATATTCCTTTCCGGGTTCGTGGGTCGATCATGTTTTACTATTTTTTGAATATTCCTCCTGTAGAGGGACAGGCCCGACTTAATCGTAGTAGCAGGCGCACAGGTCGGAGAGGAACTGCCTGCGGAACTCGTCCAAGCCGCCAGGGCTACGGCGACCATTGCCCCGTGCCTGGCCGTCTCGCACGTTGCAGTCTCGGCTCCAACCTTCCACAAACATCGCCCCGTCCGCGTTGCCCCTATCCCAGCTGGAGCAATCAGCAGCCTGGTAGTGAAACAGGCGCCAGGTAGAAGCGTCGATGGGCGCATGGCCCGCGTCGTTTCCCTGTCGGGTCTGGTCAATCTGGGTAGTGCCCTGAAGCTACAGGAAGCATCCAAGAAGCTCTGGGACGCCCCAAGAAGCTCCAGGGAGCCCCAGGGAGCTTCAGGGAGCCTCATCGAGCTCCCAGGCAGCCCTGGGATCTCTCAGGAAGCTCTGGAGAGCACCAGAAAGCCCCAGCGAGCTCCCAGAAGCTCCGAGACGCTCCATCAAGCTCCTGGGAGCACCATGAGGCTCTGTTAGTAGGAAGCGCCAGGGAGCTCCCAGGAGCTCCCGGGAAACCCTGAGAGCTGGATGTCCGAGGCAGTTTGCCTATTTGGTTGCCCAGACTCCCTCTGCTTTCAAAGCAGATTGTGAGGATGTCTCAGGCGAGGCGCCGAATCCATCACCCCAATGAGGGCCGCCAGGGGGTGTCTCAGCCGCCTGTTCCCGCCCAGATTGTGCGGATGTCTGAAGCGATGTGTCAGTTCGGCGCCTTGGAAATTTCAGTTTTCAAAGCAGAGTGTGAGGATGCCTCAGGCGAGTCGCTGGCTTCAGCACTCCGAAAAGGAACCGCCAGGGGTGTTTGCACGGAAGAGTGAGGAGGAGGAGAAGGAGGAGGAGGAGGAGGAGGAGGAATATGAAGAGGAAAAGGTGGAGAAAGAGGAGGTGGAGGAGGAGGTGGAGGAGCAGGTGGAGGAGGAGGAGGAGGAGGAGGGAGGAGGAAGAACGAGGACGAGGGACGGGGAGGATTAATAAGAAGGAGGAGGAAGACCAGAGTATACCCAAGAACCAGCAACAATGTTGCAATGATCCCTCCCTTCAAGTTCCCGAGGGGAGTTCCCCGTTGAAAGATCATCGTCTGGACATCCTGGACAGCGGCAGGACACACCTCCTGACGATCAGCATAACTGTTGCGCCCTGACGATCACGAGACGTGCCAGGACACCGCCCCTGGACCTCGGCACGGCGAATCAAGCCAACTGTTGCGACCTGGCAATCTTACACCGTGCCCCAGACATAAAGGGAAATTAGGACACACAAATAAATACACACAAATAAAAATAGTCCCCATATTTTCCCATATTTTCTGGGTTTTTGTCTCCCCCCCCAATTCCCATATTTTCCCATATTTTCCTGGGAATCGAAGATTAATTGTGTCTGTGTGTTTTTTTCCCTCCTGAAAACAGCATTTCTGGAACGTCAGCCGTAAGAACCCGGGAACCTGCTGCAGACTCTTGAGACGAATGCGAGCGGCGCAAAGGCAAGAACCACATGTTGAAAACCACCCGCCCTTCACCCGTTAAACTCTTGCAAACTATAAGGGCGAATGTGCGCGGCGCAAAGGCGAACACCACATGTTGAAAACCACCCGCCTTCCATCCGTGAAGCTCTTCCACACTGTTAGGGACCATGTACACGGCGCTAATGCGAGAACCATATATTTAAACAAACAACCACCCGCCCTCCATCCGTGAAGCTCCTGCGCTTGTCAAACGAATGTACGGGGCGGAAGGGCGAGAACCACATGTTGAAAGGGTGCCACCCTGCATCTGTGAAGCTCTTTCAACATTTCAGCTTAAGGACCATTAGTGGTGAGAAAGTCTCAAGCGAAACGCCCGGCCCACCCTACCGACACGCCTCGGAGTGCGACAGGGAGGACACACTGATGGGGAAAAAAGATGGAGCGATGAGCGAGGACATCGGAGGAGAATGGAGAAGAGGAGGAGGAGGAGGAGGAGGAGGAAGAGAAGGAGGAGGAAGAGGAGGAGGAGGAGGAGGAGGAGGAGCATGGGGGACGCGGAGCAGAGGCTTAGCACGGAGGGGGGGCGTGTCCACTACTATTGGTACCAGAGCTGGCACTGCGGGGACTGGTGCAGGTGGATACAGCCAAACAACAGCAAAACACTCGCAGCAAGGCGTGCCTGGAACATGAGATGCACAGATGGGGATCTCCGCGTCGAGTAATGTCAAGTACGTCGGAGGCCTGAGCACTCAGACGCCGTTGTCCCTCGGACTCGGCGGCTGTCCATCAGACTTCGCGGCGCGCAGGGGGGCGGGGGAAGGGTGCGCGCGAGGGGGCGACCTTCTAAGAAGACAGTGGGCTTCGCAGAAGGGAGTGGAGGTTTCCAGAAGGCCCCTTGTTCGATGGCAGCTCGTGTGAGCCTCTCGTACAATCTTGTCGGTCCTTGTGAATCGACGCACATCGCCGCTAACTCGGCGCTAAACCACGCTACATCGACGCCAATCGACGCGAGCCGACGCTCGAGTGGCGCTATCTCATCGACTTCCAGACGCTAATCGACGCGAGTCGACGCTCAAGACAGAATCACGAGGGTACACAAGGCTCCCATACTTTGCTACCCAACCAGACGGCCTCCTGGAAGGCGGCAGGGCCCTGCACTCTGACTCTTCGGCGTGTGTGAGACACTGCCGTCGTTTTCGTCGTCGTCGTCGAGTCGTCGTCGTCGTCGTCGTCGCCGTCGTCGTCGTCGTCGTCGTCGTCGTCGTCGTCGTCGTCGTCGTCGTCGTCGAGTCGTCGTCGTCGTCGTCGTCGTCGTCGTCGTCGTCGTCGTCGTCGTCGTCGTCGTCGTCGTCGTCGTCGACGTCGTCGTCGTCGTCGTCGTCGTCGTCGTCGTGCGAAGGGCGCCCAGGGGGGGGGAACGAAGCAAGAATATGGCTGGACGAGCGCTCCGCATCGCCGATGGGAGGAGGAGGAGGAGGAGGAGCAGGAGGAGGAGGGGGGGGAGGGGGGGGAGGGGGAGGAAGAGGAGGAGGAGGAGGAGGAGGAGGAGGAGGAGGAGGAGGAGGAGGAGGGGGAGGAGGAGGAGGAGGAGGAGGAGGAGGAGAAGGTGGATCGCCGATGCATCGGCGAGGGCAGGCCCAGGCCAGTCAAGCCTTGCAGGATCCTGTGAATTGTGTTGCATCCTCGGGGGACCTCGTCTGTCCCGTCGCGGCCATGTCCGCGTCGAATCCGCGTCGAATCCACATCGGATCCGTGTCGAATCCGTGTCGCATCCGCGTCGAATCTACGTCGAATCCGCGTCGAGTCCGCCTCGAGCCCGCGCCAGGCAGAGGAGACGGCACCAATGTTGGGGGACGGGTGAGGCCCCCCGAAGATACAACGCACTGCAAGGTCCAGGATCCTGCGAGATCCTGCGCGCAGGCCCGGGTCAATGCGCCCCTGGGCCTGCAGGATCCTGCAAGGTCCGGCGCCGTGGCTGATCTCCGTCTGCATGGACCCCTGGGCCCCTTTCCTTGAGTTCAGTCGGGCACATCCCTCCACAGGAAGGATATTCAAGAACAGCCAAAAAAATAGTCAGGGGACAATTTCTCTATAATTTTGACTATGTTTGAACACAAATATAATTTGTTTGACTATTTATTTATACATATATATATATATATACGATTCCTTTAAATTGGCAGAACATTTTTTGGACACCGTATCTGTCGTTCAAAATGCGCCTGTGGGAGGACATGCCCGACCTAACCCTTGAGCCCCGAGATCGGCGCGCTCCGCCACCCCGGCTGGAGACCCACGCCTCCCGAGCCGTGGCGTTGGCGAGCCCGGGGGCCGCAGCCTCGGCCGCGGCCTCGCGCGGCGAAGCGGCCTGCAGGGCCCGGTGGAAGTCCCGGACGTAGGCCGCCTGGGCGGGCGGCTTTGGCGGCAACTCGCGGGGGCCTCCCATGCCATCCTGAGACGAAGCCAGGGCGAGGATGACATCGGGTGAGGACGAGTGGAGAATCTCTGAGGTCTGGCGGCTCTGGAGGATGTCTCGGGCGCCGCGGCCATCTCGGAGCGCTCCGGAACGCTCTTGTAGCGTTCCAGAACGCCCCGGAACGGATTTATCCTCGTGCTGGCCCCGTCCGGCATCCTGCTGCCTCTTGCGAATCGGCGCTAACCGACGCTGATCGGTGTCAAACTGATGTTAAATCGGCGCTCTCTCATCGATCACCAGACGCTGGCGCACGCTAGTGCACGCTAGAGGCGGACCTGCGAGGACACACAAGGCTCGTATGACTTGCTACCGAATGTGGCTGCTGCGATGGCGGCCTGGGACGAACTTCCAACGAAACGCACCCAGATCCCTATCGATACTGCTGCACATCTCAGAAATGGCTCATCGAGTTTTTGGTTGACCCACAAGGGGGTCCAGCTGAAAGAGGGCGGTGCAATAGGTTTGGGGCAAAAATATAGCAAATTCATTGCGCCTGAACATCCCACCAGCCCTTTGGGCGCAGGTGATCTAAGAATGTCTTCCTTTCCTCTTCGAAATACCCTTCTTCCCCTTCGGGGAGGGGTTATCAGTTCCATATGAGTATACACCTCCCCCCCCAGGCGACCAGCGGCCAACCAGGAACCATGCGGGCACCCTCCCGCATCCCTGTCAAAAAAACACAGAACGCACTCTGCCTCCAAATTCGGAGCATGCGCAACCAACCGGATACGGCCCCCGCCCCCCCCCATCCCTGTCAAAAACAATACAAATACACTTCAGGGCAAAGTGGAGTGATGTTCGTGAAGCCCGCGAGCACTTTTTTTGATCCTTGACAGGGACGGCGGGGGTGTCAGCAAATTGCCTGCTGCGCGCAGGGCTACCATCCCTAACAAAACATAATGCAACATGCACCTGGCGGGTAAGTCTGGATCATGCGTGGCCACCCCGCGATCATTCTCAAGTGGTTTTTGACAGGGACGGCGGTGGTGGTGGCGTATGGCCTGCTGTGCGCAGGCCCACCAGACACAATCTAGGGCATTGGTTGTCGACAAGGATGGTAGGGGCCGGCATGTTTCCCGATGTGTGCTGTCACGTGCGCAGGCGCACCTGACACACTCTGCACGTGCCCCGAGCGTGGCGCACCTGGCGCGGCTGGGGTATGCGGCACACCTGGCGCACGCGGAGGCACGTGGCGCATGTGGCGAACCAGGCGTGCCTGGCACGCTCGGGCCTCAGGGGTGCCTGGCGCGCGTGGCGCGCCTGGCACGCGTGGCGCACCTCGCCCCAGCGTCGCGCACATGGGCTCGGTTTTGGTTCCCAGTAGCTGTCCATCCAAAGACGACAGCTGAACATGCTGAGGCTCGGGTGCGACTTATGTGTGAGGAGGGCGGGTGGGAGTGAGCTAGACGGCTTGCTATCTGGAGTGTCTTGACCCCTCCCCCTACCCCCTCCCCTGGACCTGGACGGGGGGGTTCGCGAGCGGTCAGGGCGTCCAAGATAGCCTGAGATGGCTCCCAGAGGGCCTCAGAGAGCCAATGATGGTTTCCAAGATCGCTCAAGATAGCCCAACATTGCTCAAGATAGCTCACAACATGCCTCCAAGAGGCCCCAAGAGGGCCACAAGACGGTTCCAGGTGTTGTTGGCGACCCCTCAGGACCTCCCCGAGAAGCCAACATCCTTTTAAAACCGACAGAAAAAAAACACTGATGTTTGCCGTCTCGCCTTTTCGCTTCCGATGCGCTTTTGAGGCCTGAAGGTGGCCCTAAGATGGCCCAAGAGAGCCCCAAGAGGGGCCCAAGGGGGCCCTAAGGCTGCCCCAAGAGCGCCCAAGATCGCCCCAAGAGGCCCCAAGAGCGCCCCAAGAGCGCCCCAAGAGGCTGGTTAGATGGCCCTGGAGGGGGGAGGGAAATCGAGGACGCCCCTCATTTAATCGATGGTCTCCAAGATGGCCTCAGGAGGCGCTCCGTTAGCTCCCAAGAGGACCCCAAGAGAGCCGCAAGAGAGTCCCAAGAGGGTCCCATGACGGCCCCTAGGCGCCCCTACAGAGCCCCAAGAGGACCGTAAGACCCCCCGAAGAGCCCCAAGACGGCCCCAAGATAACCCAAAAGAGCTCCAAGAGGACACCAATATCCCCCAATACAGCCCCGTAGCTCCAAGAAGGCCTCCGATGCTCCAAGATCGCCTCCACGATGGCTCAACACCCTCATTCCTCTCCCTCCTTGCACGCTCTGCTTCACTATATATGTCTCTTCGTACCTTTTCCGGTCAGCTCTCATGGGCACGGCTTATGAATGGGCTGGTGAGGATTCGCGAAGCGTAAACACTTGTATTGCATTGTATTGCAACGAATGCATTGCACGCGAAAACCAGCAATACCTTTGCGCACCGCAATGTGCTGCACGCCTCAAGTCTACTGCAGCCCCGCAAATCTTACCATTGTGCCAAATATTTTGCACCATCTGTCTCGCGCTCTTCCTGAGATCCCGCATTCTTCACGCCAAACGCTTTCGCTCCGTCTCGGATGCCAGAACCCTTACACCGCGATCCGACTCGAAAGGTGCCGCAGAAAGACTGGGTCTGGGGCTCCAGTCGTAGTTGTAGGTCGGGCAAATCCTCCAACAGGAGGAGCTTCAAATAAAAGTAAAAACGAATCTAAAGATACGCAAAAAAGCCAAAAACAGTCGAACAAATCGTCCTCATCAAAGTGTTGGACTATTTTGGAATATTCCTCCTGTAGAGGGACATGCCCGACTTCATCGCAATTTCTCTCGAAATTGCACATGTTCGAGACGTCGGATCTCATGGGTACAACGGCGGGCACTTGCCCCACGACTCTCGACGGCTCTCTGTCAGCAGCGGGGCGCCCCCCTCATAGCCACTCCGATGTCAAGTGACGCAGCCGCGGGCGGATCGACTCTTTTGGCGGCCGAACGCACTCCAACCGAAGCTCACAGCCTCGCGTCTCGCTCGAAAATGCCGTGGTCGGCGTCCGTGGCCACGCCACAGCACACGAGCATTGCAAGCTCACGAAGGAGGAGCGATGGAAAGGAGGGGAGGGAGGATGAGGGGGAAGGAGAGGACGAGAGAACGACATGCCGTAGCGTGGGGGGCATGCACGATAAAAAAAACACCCCGTTTCGGGCGAGCGGAGAAACCTCCGCGCCTGGGTGTGAGAGCTAATCCGAGTGGACAGCGGGTGCGAAGAAGACGACGACGACGACGACGACGACGACGACGACGACGACGACGACGACGGCGGCGGCGGCGGCGGCGGCGGCGGCGGCGGCGGCTACGATGAGAGACAACGCCGACCACGCCGACAACCACTCACAGACAGACAGGCGGTGAGCAGGCCGTTCCCGTCTCCTTCCTCGTCTGCCTGGTTGTACCCCATCCCCTCGCTTCCTCCTTCCGCCCGTCTCCCTCTTCCTGCGTTTTCCTCCTCCCTCCTCGGTCATCACTCCGCCTCCCTGGCGGCCAGCATTCTCCCTCCTCGTACGTTATCCTCCTTCCTCATATACTTGTCCTCTCTCCTCCTCCGCCCTCCCTACTCCCTCCTCCCTCGCGGGTGCCCCCCCCCTTGGCGGCCCCCTCCGCCTCTCCTTCCTCTTCCTCCTAATTACTCGCCGTAGCCCGGCCCTTCTCTTCCTCCATCCTCCCTTCTCCCTCCTCCTGCGTGCTCCTCCTTCCTCCTCCGTCCTCCATCGTCCTCCCTGGCGGCCGTCCTTCTGGTGGTGCGGCGAGAAGGAAGAGGTCGGGAAGGAGGGTGTGGGGGAGAAGGAAGAGAAGGAGAAGCAGGAGGAGGAGGAGGAGGAGGAGGAGGAGCAGGAGGGCAAAGAGGGGGGCGAGGAGGGCGATGAGGCGGAGGCCGAGGAGGGCGAGGAGGAGGAGGAGGAGGAGGAGGAGGAGGGCACGCTCGATTCGGGCAGGACGTGCTCCATGCTGCCCGCTGCGAGGCTCGCCGCGGCGCGAGCCCCTCGGCCTCGGCGGGCCGAGCCCCGCCAGCGGTGGCCGCTGCCGGCCGCTGCCGGCCGCTGCCGGCCGCCAGAGCTCGGCGTGGCTGCGCCGCCGGAGGCCGCCGAGGCCCGCCGGCCGCCGCGCTGCAGCGGCTGCGCCGCAGCGGCGCGCGCGCGCGCGCGCCGCCGCGCCGCGCCGGCCGCGCCGCGCCGCCGCGCCGCGCCGCTGGCCACGAGCGGGGCCGGCGGCGGAGGCCACGGCACGTCGCGGCGCCGAGGGAGGCGTCCGCCACCGCGGCGTGGAAGCGGGCCTGGCGCGGAGCCGAGGCCCGCGCCGCGGCGTCTGTGGCCTGGCGGTGGCTCGCAAGGTCGGCGGAGCGGGCAAGCGGAGATCACCGGGGATGGCGACAGCATCGAGGCGCGTGCGCACCGCAACCATAGGATCTAGGCCCGGAGGCCGACTGGGGCGGCGTGCGACGCACCCTGTACAACACGGACTTGACTCGTGCCCTGCGGCTAGACCACTGCAGTCGAAGTCTGTTCCTCAACCCTCCCGCCCCACTGCGCAGCAGGTCGCGCGCACGCGCACGACGTGCCCGCCTGCAGCTCAGCGCAGCAGGTCACACGCGCGCGCGCACGACGCGCCCGCCCGCAGCCTAGCCTTGGGTCGGGCAGGTCCCCCTACAGGCGGACTCTGGGAGACAAATCAAACATAGTCGGAAATAATCATACCTTACATTGGCAAATAATCAAAAACCAAACAGTAGTGAGACAGATCAGAAAAATAATTAAGAATGAACAAAAAGATTCAAACATAGCCAAAAACAGTCAAAACAAAATTGTCCCCAGACTATGTTTGACTATGTTTGAATTTCCCTCCTGTAGAAGCACATGCCCGACTTAAGCCTCGCCCAGGTCACCCCCACGCCGCGTCTTGCGCTGCGCGACATGCGCATGGCGCGCTGGCCTCTTCGCGTCCTCGCGCCGGCCGCCCAGACAAGGCGCACTTTGCTCTCCGGCCCAAGCCGCGGAACGCGAGGCGCAGTTGGCATCCTGCCCCCCTGCGGGTGGCCTGCGTGGCCAGCACGGGCGACGGTCGAGGGAAACAATTAGTTCAGGGGCACTCGCCTCCCCCAAATTCAAAATGAGCGACGATCAAACAGGGGTCTTACGCGAAGTGACAAAGCGACCTTACGCGGCGGCTTACGTGGGCCGCCAACGCGGCACGCCACATTGGAGACGAGGGCGACCTTACGCAGGCACTTTACGCGCCAATGTCGGCACGGTCGAACACATTTTCTTTCGTCGCTCAAGTGGGCGCACGCGGGGGAAGACTGCGGTCGACGTGCAACTCCTTCCACCCACCGCCAACACTGATCATTGGGGGGGAGCATTGACAGAGGAATGCGGGACGAGAGTTCGCAAATTTCTTCCGATGCCTGGGGCACCCGCAAGCACAGCGAAAGCCCTGCTGCACGGAGGTTCCGACCAGGAGCGAAGCCTCCTTTTACCCGCCTCCTGCCCATCACCTGCAGAAGCAGTGCAAGAACCTCTTGCTCCGATGCCAGAAGAACGCCCCCAGACGCCGGGATGTCTCGCTCCGCGATCGCTGACGACGACACCTGCATGGCTCGTGCAGCTAGCCGTCGGACAGAGGAGGCGGGCGGGACTAGATCGTGTCCTTGTTGCCGATAGGCCATGGGCGCGTTCGTGCCCGCGCGGGGGGGGGGGGGGGGCCCGAGGAGAGGGGGGACGAGGGGGCGAGGGAGGGTCACAGGGAGGCAGCAGGAGGACCCAGTAGACCCCCGAGAGGCATCCCGAGGGACCCCCATAACAGGCATCCGAGAGGCCTCTGGACCGCAACTTGCGCAGGGACCGCCCGTCCTGGCACTCCTGGGGTCCTACCACGACATGCTCTTAGAACCACAGCAGGTCCGAAACACAAGAACAGTGCTCTTAGAATATGCAGCGGATGTGCTGAAAAGACGGTCTCAGCCAGAAATGGTCTGAGAAGAATCATAGCATGTTCTCAGACACTCTTCGGTGGGACCAGAAGCAGGCCAGGACGCTTCGCCACTGCTTGAACAACCCAGGCACGGCGCCTGATGGGCCGAAGACCACTATGGGTGGCGAGCGAGGGGGGAAATGAGGAGACGCCCTTCTCAGAAGGCAGCGGGACTTCTCAGAAGCCCTCGCGCTTTCTGAGAGGTTTTTTGGTGCCCTCGGGGAAGGCTTAGAGAACTTCTCAGAAGGCTTGGGGACTTCAGAGCCTTCTGAGACGGCCCGCCCCTTCTCGTTTCCTCCCCCTCGCTCGTCGCCGACACTCGATACGGAGAGCTTCAAGACACGTTGGATCGTTTTCACCCTCCGCCTGCCTCCTCTTCCTCTTCCCCGATGTTCTGCCTCTCCCCACTCTGGTCGGGAGGATCGAGATGGGGACGGAAACACTGGGTACCGAAGACCAGCAGCAATACGTCCCTATGTTGACCAGGATTCCTTGTGAGGATTGCCGCCGACGTCGTCCCCCTGCTCACACCGAGAAGCGCTGTCGCAGCAGCGGCCACACAACAGTTGCCGTTGGGATGAGGGGCAACGCCAGGGCGGGTCCAGCTTGAGGGGGGCAAACATCGACCTGGGACCTGCGACGCATCGTCTACAAGTCGGTGATCGGCCCCCAACAGCGACTCCGGACGGCCGTGAGCGGGGCGGGCAATCGGGCCCCTCTCCGCGATGCACGGGCGGTTTGGGGGTCGATGCATCCCGATCTGACCCCATCTCCTCCTGACGTTGCCGCTGAGCTATAGAAGAAACAAATACGCCATAAACAGAAACAGTTGGCGCGCCGCGCGGATTTCTTGGATGGGCCCCCTCCCTGGCGCGCAGAGCGCCGGGGAGGCCCGGCGCGGACCCGAGAAAGCAACGCGGAGCGCCAAAATTCTGTGTTTATGTGTTTTTCCTTCTTCGATGAGCTAAGCCGAAGCTCTAGGTCGGGCATGTCCCCCTACAGGCGGCTTTTGGAAGAAAACCGCTGAAACTAGTCCACACATGCCAGAACATGGCCAAACGATACTCGAAAGATCGTCCCCGAGCTATTTTTGGACTATCTGTGGGTGCTCCTCCTGTCAGAAGGCCACGCCCGACTTCGCCGGCCGCATGCCCGCGCCCCTCGCGCCTAGCCCGCGTCGTCGTCGAAGCGGATCCCGCGCTGTGCCGGCGCCTTCGGCGCGGCGCCCGTGGCCTGGCGGCCGCGCGTCGACCGCGCGGCGCCGGCGCCGCCCGCCTCCCCAGACCCCCGACGTCGTGATTTTTTCCCAGGTGGAGGCGGAGGAGGAGGAGGAGGAGGAGGAGGAGGAGGAGGAGGAGGGGAGGAGGAAGAGGAGGAGGGAGGAGGAGGAGGAGGAGGAGGAGGAGGAGGAGGAGGAGAAGAACAACGTCGACCCCTCCCAGAGGTCTGGGACAGGTTGTTCACCCCGAGTCGTTTTGTTGGCGGCCCCGAGGCCCAAGAAAGGGCCCCCGGAGGCCGACGATAACCAGAAAGACCTACCGCCGTGAATTCTTCCACAACCCGAGGGGGTCTGGGTCGCTCGCCGCCTCGATGCTCACGACCTCGTCCTCCGCGGCGAAGCGGACGCCGCCCGCGGGCGCCGGCGCCCGCTTCTTCGGCGCCGGCGCCGGCGCCTGGAGGATCTGCCCGATCTCCGAGGATGTAAAACCCAGCAATCATCGCGTCGTGAAAACAAAAAAATCGGGACGGGAGGTTTTTGGCCAATTTCGGCCTCAGGGGGCCCTCGCCAAGCCTCGCGGGACCGTCAAAGAACGACTCAGAATGAAAACCGGCCCCAGGGAAAGGGTCTGGACTTTCGGGGACGCCGTCGTGAAAGAATCAAGAAAATCTGGGACACACACACAGAAATAGACACAAAAATCCCAGGATCCGCAATCTATTTCCTCATCTTTGGTTTTCCAGATTCTCGTCTTCCCCCCCCGCCCATATTTCCCCAGAGTTTCCTGGGGGTCGACGACTCACTCTGTGTGTGTGTGTGCGCGTGTGTGTGTGCGCGTGTGCGTGTGCGTGTGCGTGCGCGTGCGCGTGCGCGTGCGCGTGCGCGTGCGCGTGTGCGCGTGCGCGTGCGCGTGCGCGTGCGCGTGCGCGTGCGCGTGCGCGTGCGCGTGCGCGTGCGCTGCGCGTGCGCGTGCGCGTGCGCTGTCCGAGATGTCCGATGCCGCCGTCTGTCCCCGCTCTCGGCCTCCGGGGGCCCGCTGTCGGGCCCTGTGGCCCTGGCCCATAGCGGCGCTGGAAGTCTGCTTGACTCTCCGACTTCGGCCTACGGTGGGGGAGGAGGAGGAGGAGGAGGAGGAGGAGGAGGAGGAGGAGGAGGAGGAGGAGGAGGAGGAGGAGGAGGAGGAGGAGGAGGGAGGAGGAGGAGGAGGAGGAGGAGGAGGAGAGGAGGAGGAGAGGAGGAGAGGGGAGGGAGGAGGAGGAGGGAGGAGGAGGAGGAGGGGAGGAGGAGGAGGAGGAGGAGGGGGGCTTTCAGTGAGGGTACCTTCAGCAAGGAGCCCAGGGTCTCGCGGCCGATGGGCGGCCGAACGCGGACCACCCACCTCGCCCTGAAACCAAAGGGAAGCCGCCAGGGTCTGGGCCCCAGGAAGACGTTCCTTATCCAGTGCCGCCGCCGTACCCGTCGGTCGAGAGAAGTAGACAGGAGCATGAAGTAAGAATGAAGGGAAACTGGGACACACAAATAAATACACACAATTAAAATGATTCCCCATATTTTCCCATATTTTCTGGGTTTCTGTCTTCCCCCCCACTTCCCATATTCTCCCATATTTTCTGGGAATCGCAGATTAATTGTGTCTGTGTGTTTTTTTCCCCTCCTGAAAGAAGGGTTGGAAGCAAATGGGTAGGGCCAGACATGCGCCCCAAACGGTGCACACAAAAAGTGGGGCGGGGCCTTCCACCTCATAGCCCCATGGCAGTCAGGCGGACATCTCCGCAGGAGGATGGCGGAAACTGCGACGACAGGGTAGGGCGGACATCGACATCGAAGGAGCTTGAGAAGTGGGGCGGACATGTATTCCCTACTTGCGAAAAATCGCCCCAAAGAACCACGGCGGATCTGGAGACATGGGGTCCCGTCAAGAATGGGTCCAGGACGCAGACCTACCTCCGGGGGAAGGGGGGGGACCTCTGGGCCGCGCATCGTAATAATCATTGTTGGCGAGCGAGGGGGGAAGTGAGAAGGAGAGGCCTTGTCAGAAGGCTCGGAAGTCCCCCGGCCGTCTGAGAAGTCTTCTAAGCCTCCCCCGAAGACAAACAGAAACACCTCCCAGAAGGCGCGAAGGCTTCTGAGAAGTCCCGCTGCCTTCTGAGAAGGTCTTCTCCTTCGCACTTCCCCCTCTCGATCGCCGCCCAATGTGGATTTGGGGTCATAGCTCGGGTCTCCGGCGGGCGTTCGGGACGATCCGGGCACCCCCGGAACGCCCTCGGAGAGGCGCAGCCGCTGGAACGCACCCGAGGGTGGAAAACCGCCGAGAACCGACGAACAAGCCCGAACACCTCGAATCTCGAACTTCGGACCCCCTCGCTCGCCGCCGAAATCACATCGGAGGCTGTCTGGGGTCGAGGCTCTGGGCGAGGATCGGAGCTCGTGGCTTCTGGGAGCGCGGCCCCGGGCCTCCGTGGGCGCCCGCGCGGCCACAGCCGGGTCTTCCTCCGAGTTCTGGCCAGAGCGCACTGGAGAAGGAGGAGGGGGAGGAGGAGGAAGAGGAGGAGGAGGAGGAGAAGGAGGAGGAGGAGGAGGGGGGAGAGGAGGAGGAGGAGGAGGAGAGGAGGAGGAGGAGGAGGAGGGGGATGAGGACGAAAGTGAGGAGGAGGAGGAAGAGGAGGGGAGTGGTGGGATGAGGAGTGGGGTGGGAGGAGGAGGAGGCGAATTGAAGGAGAAAGATCAGGAGGAGGAATATCAGGAGGAGGAGGAGCAAGAGGAGGAGCAGGAGGAATGGATTGGTCTGGCACAAGCGCCACGTCTGCGATCGCCTCCTCGTCGTCCGCCGCCGCAAAGCGGACGCCGCCGCCCGCGGGCGCCTGGGCCCGCTGCTTCGGCGCGAACGCGGTGGCCTCGGGAGGGCCCCCGCCGTGTGCACCCGCCTGCCCCGACGCCAGGCCTCTTAACTCCCCCCCGCCGCAGCGGAGTCGAGGCGGCTGGTCTGTCCTCGGGCTGGGCCTGCTGTGGAGGCCTGGCTCGGCCCCCGGGACCGTCAGAGAACAGCAGCTGGGGCGAGAGAGGTCGGCCCCCCAGGGATAGGGGTCGAGAGGCCGCGGGGGGGAGGGGGAGACGCGTAAACAAAGCACGGAGAAGCCAGAGGTCTGGGGTCCGATCCTGGGCCCGAGATCGGAAATTACGCCCTCCTGGCTCGGCCACGGAGGCACACACACACACACACATATATATATATATATATATATACATACATATATATATATATATATATATATATATATATAATTTCCTCTTCCTATATTTTAATAAGCCCGGGCCGGGGGAAAACCCGTCCCCCCCCCAAAAAAAACCGGACTCCTGGGACCTGGGGCTTTGGGGCCCTCCGAACGGGCCTCGAAGCGGCCACCGGGCCTCGCAAGGCGTTTTGCCAAGCCTTCCCAGCACACTTAGGGCGATCAGGGCGGTCATCGGAGACGCCCCAAAGACTCCCAAGACAGCACAAGAGCGCTCCAAGAGTGACCGACGTGACCTCAAGATGGCCTCAGAGGCCTCCAGGACGGCCCCAAAGAGGCCTCCAAGAGCAGTCCCAAGAAGGCCCCCCGAGGCACAAATCATTGATTTTCTTTGGGTTTTTGGTGAATTTTGGGGTTCTCCTCTTTTCGGCTTCCCGACGCTCCAAGACGGCGGTCTTCTGGGCGTCCGAAGCCGCCTGGGAGGCTCTCAAATCGGCCCACAACCATCCGAAAGGGCTTTCAGGCAGTCCAAGAGAACCCCAAAACGGCACAACACGGGTCCAAGATGGCGCTCAGAGAGCCCCATGGCGGCCCAAGATGGCCCAAAGACACCCTCCGAAGAATTCCAAATCGTGATTCGGTCGTTCAGGGAGACGGCGGTTGGAGGCAGGGTGGCCTGAGGAAGCTCCCGGAGGCCCTCAGAATACGCCCAGGAGGCCTCCAGAAGGCCTTAAGAAAGCCCGAAACAACTTTTGTGAGGCCCCTAGAGGCTCTCCAAGGAGGAGCCTCTGCAAAAAAGAGCTGAGGAGGATGGGGAGAATGCGCAGGGTATGGCGAAAATAAGGAACAATAAGCATGGAGGAAGGATAACGAATAACATCATTATAGCGGCGATGCCGGAAAAGGCAAACAGGAGGTATCGCTGAATTGTCGGTTTGACCTTCCTGCCATTCCGCCTGCATACCAAACTTCAAGGACCAAGGTGCATGGCGCGAAGCGCCACTGCAGTCTTGTATATATATATATACATATGTATATACACACGGTCATCGGCCCGACGTAAGGAACGAGACATAAGGAACGACACCCCGTTTCCCTAAGGAAAAAACGCATAAGGAACGATACATACCAAATAGCGCATAAGGCACGATACAGAACGCATGAAAGCCTAAGGAACAACCGAGCCCCTTTTGAAAAGTAAGCGTTCCTTATTCAAGTCGCTCACTGTATGAGTATATATATATATGTATATATGCACGGATATGTACACATATAATTAAACATACATACACCGATCCTGGGCCCATGATGGACATGGCCAAGATCGGTGTCAGTGAGTAGTTGACGCCCTCCAAACGGGCCTGCCGCGTGCGGGCCGAGCGCGTTGCACTTGCAGCAGGTTCCTCCTCGTCCTCCTCTGCGCTCACCTCCTCCACGTCTTCCGCAAACCCGACGCCACCCTCATTGGCGGGCGTCCGCTTCCGCGGCAAAAACGCCGTGGCCTGCCGTGCGCGCGCCGAGCGCGTTGCACTTGCAGCAAGCTCCTCCTCGTCCTCCCCTGCACTCACCTCCTCGACGTCGTCCGCAAAACCAACGCCGCCGTCGTTCGCTGTCGCCTGCTTCCTCGGCACAAACGCCGTGGCCTGCCGTGTCCGCGCTGACCTCGCTGAACTTGCCGCAAGCTCCTCCTCGTCCTCCTCTGCGCTCACCTCCTCCACGTCTTCCGCAAACCCGACGCCACCCTCAGCTGCTGGTGCCTGCTTCCTCGGCACAAACGCCGTGGCCTGCCGCGAGCGCGCCGAGCGCGTTGCACTTGCAGCAGGCTCCTCCTCATCCTCCTCTGCGCTCACCTCGTCTACGACGTCCGCAAAATCTACGCCGCCCTCAGCTGCTGGTGCCTGCTTCCGTGGCACGAACGCCGTGGCCTGCCGCGAGCGCGCCGAGCGCGTTGCACTTAAAGCAGGCTCCTCCTCATCCTCCTCTGCGCTCACCTCGTCTACGACGTCCGCAAAGTCTACGCCGCCCTCAGGTGCTGGTGCCTGCTTCCGTGGCACGAACGCCGTGGCCTGCCGCGAGCGCGCCGAGCGCGTTGCACTTGCAGCAGGCTCCTCCTCATCCTCCTCTGCGCTCACCTCGTCTACGACGTCCGCAAAATCTACGCCGCCCTCAGCTGCTGGTGCCTGCTTCCGTGGCACGAACGCCGTGGCCTGCCGCGTGCGCGCCGAGCGCGTTGCACTAGCTGTCTGATCCTTCGCATCGCCATCCGCATCCACCTCCTCGACGTCGTCCGCAAACCCGACGCCATGGTTCGCTGCCGCCTGCTTCCTCGGCACAAACGCCGTGGCCTGCCGTGTCCGCGCTGACCTCGCTGAACTTGCCGCAAGCTCCTCCTCGTCCTCCTCTGCGCTCACCTCCTCCACGTCTACCGCAAACCCGACGCCACCCTCAGCTGCTGGTGCCTGCTTCCTCGGCACAAACGCCGTGGCCTGCCGCGAGCGCGCCGAGCGCGTTGCACTTGCAGCATGCTCCTCCTCATCCTCCTCTGCGCTCACCTCGTCCACGTCGTCCGCAAAGTCTACGCCGCCCTCAGGTGCTGGTGCCTGCTTCCGTGGCACGAACGCCGTGGCCTGCCGCGAGCGCGCCGAGCGCGTTGCACTTAAAGCAGGCTCCTCCTCATCCTCCCTCTGCGCTCGCCTCGTCTACGACGTCCGCAAAGTCTACGCCGCCCTCAGGTGCTGGTGCCTGCTTCCGTGGCACGAACGCCGTGGCCTGCCGCGAGCGCGCCGAGCGCGTTGCACTTAAAGCAGGCTTCTCCTCATCCTCCTCTGCGCTCACCTCGTCGACGACGTCCGCAAAGTCTACGCCGCCCTCAGCTGCTGGTGCCTGCTTCCGTGGCACGAACGCCGTGGCCTGCCGCGTGCGCGCCGAGCGCGTTGCACTGGCTACGTGGTCCACCGCACCTCCCTCCGCATCCACCTCCTCGACGTCGTCCGCAAACCCGACGCCGCCCTCAGGGGCTGGCGCCTGTTTCCGTGGCACGAACGCGGTGGCTTGCCGTGTCCGCGCTGAACGTGTTGCACTCGCAGCAGGCCCCTCCTCGTCATCATCAACGCTCACCTCCTCCACATCGTCCGCAAATCCGACGCCACCCTCAGGTGCTGGTGCCTGCTTCCGCGGCACGAACGCCGTGGCCTGCCGCGTGCGCGTCGAGCGCGCTGCACCCGCAACATGATGATCTTCATCTTCGCATGCATCCGCCTCCTGAACGTCGTCTTGGAAGCCAACTGGCGCCCGCTTCTTCTGCGCCTGCTTCTTCAGCACCCCGCCGCCCGCTGCCTTCTGCGGCTGCCTCGTGACCTTTGCGGCCAGCGCGGCCAAATCAGCCCGCAGGGACTCCTCTTGGCGGCGAGCGCAGGGGGGAACTGAGAAGGAGACGGCCTTCTCAAAAGGCTCGCCGGCCTTCTGAAAAGTTTCCTAGGCCTCCATCCCCGAAAACTAACAAATCTTCTCAGAAGGCGCGAGGGCTGCTGAGAAGTCCCTCCGCCTTCTGAGAAGGCATTGCCCTTCTCACTTCTCGCTGGCCGCCGAATTCAGTTTTCGGCAGTTTTCGGGTCATAACTCGGGTCTCTGGCGGCCGTTCGGGACGATCTGGGCATCTCCAGAACGCTCTCGGCGAGGCGCAGCCGCTGGAACGCATCCCGAGGGCGGCTTGCCGCACTCGGGATGCGTTCCAGCGAAACCTCGAAGCTCGAAACCTCGAACCTCGAACCTCGAAACCTCGAACACGAAAACGCCCGGAAACCTCGAGCCTCGAATCCCCCTCGCTCGCCGCCGATCCTCCAGGAGGCGGCAGACGCCCTCGGAGATCCTGCTCCGGTCGGCCAGGGCCTGCACCTCCGCCCGCAGGTCGCCGCACGCCGCCTCGAGCAGCTCGCAGCGGTCCTGCAGCGCGAGCCTCTCGGCCTGGAGGCACTGCACCCTCCTGCAGAATGAGAAGGCGAAAACCCACCCCCACCCCCAGTCCCGACTGCCCACCCTCGAGCCCGCGATCTGGGGGGTCGGGACTGGGCGTGGGGGTGGCTTCTCTCTGTGCCTGGACCCCGGAAGCCCACCCCCACCCCCAGTCCCGACCCCCCGGGTCGAGGGTTCGGGAATGGGGTCGGGACTGGGGGGTGGGGGTGGGTTTTCGCCTTCTCACAGAAGGCACAAGCCATCTGCGACAAGACAAGCTTTTGAGGGAGGCCAGGGGCACACAAGTGAATACACACACACACAAATCTCAGGATTCCCTACACCAGTCGGTCGGAAGAAGCAGGTAGAAAAATAAAGTAGGAGGGCGTTGGAAGTAGACTGGGTTCCGTCCGCCTCCTGAGGAGGGCGGAAGAGGTGAAGCCACTCGATCAATGAAGTAGGAAGGCGCCTAAAGTACATTGGAATCTGGGAATCCCAGAAATACCTACTTCCAACGACCGATGGGTATTTTCTCTCTCATATATATATATATACACACATATTCTGGATTCTCGTTTCCCCCCCCTTCTTCCCACATTCCCCCATATTTCCCGGGGAATCGGCGATCCATGGTGTCCTGAGACGAGCCGGAGGTCCGCGCGGAGTGGCTGGGCCGGCGCGGAAGGCCTCCCCGCGCGCCCTGCGCGGCGCGCGGAGGCTGTACCGGCGGCGCCGCCCCCCGGGTGCGGGGAGGGGGCCCGGCGCCGACGGCAGAAATCCGCGCGGACCTCCAGAGGTCGATGCGCGTGGAGTCTGGAGGCGGCTGGCGTTAGGTCGGGCGTGTCCCCCATACAGGCGGATTTTGCACGAGAACTTAAAATCAGTTGGAACAAAAATTAAAGAAATGCCCCAACATACTCCCAGAATCGTCCCCCGACTATTATTTTTACTCGTTTGGGACATTTCTCCTGTAGAGGGACACGCCCGACGTAACGCTGGGGGGCTGCCCTGGATGCGCACCAGCAGAACAAGTCAGGAGGGGGCCCAGCGCCGACGCAAGAAATCCGCGCGGACCTCCAGGGGTGGATGTGCGTGGAGTCTGGAGGCGGTCGGGGGGCTGCCCTGGATGCGCACCACGCCAGCAGAAGGGGAACAGGGGCAAATTCGGCTTCCAAAAGCCCACCTGGAGGAGGGGGCCCAGAGGGGGCAAAGCAGAACAGCTATGTAGAATGGTGCCTCCCTTCTTCTCTGGCGGCTGGAACAGGTGATGCCCCACAGCCACCCAGCCCGGCTCAAATGTGGAATGTTTGGTTGAGGTTGTTCTCGGGGGCGGTCACGAGGGGGGCGTCCAAGAGGGGGGGGTGCAAATCATGGCTGGCGGCACGTGCGCGGCCCAAGGGGGGGCCAGGGACGCAATGGAACAAGGAGAGGCGGCATGAGGAGTTCTGGGGAAACATCATGGCCCACGCCATGATAGCCCCCCCCCCCTGGTCATCACCCCCCTCTTTGCCGCCCCCGCTGCTCGATCCAACGACACGAGCTCCCAACCCGCCTCGCACACCCTGCGCGCCGCGGCCGCCGGGCCCGCGGCGGGCCGGTGCTCCCTGGGTGTCCCGCCTCGCTCCCTCGGCGACTGCACACCGCGGCCGCCAGGCCCGAAGGGCGGGGGCGGCCGAGAGGGGGGTGCCCCAAGAGAGGGCGGGTGCAAGTCATGGCCGGCGCCGTGTGCGCGGCCCAGAGCGGGGGCCAGGGACGTGTTGAAATAAGGAAGAGGCGCCATGAAGCCTGGGGAGGCATCATGGCCCCCGCCATGATATCCCCCCCCTAGTCATCACCCTCCTCTTGGCCGTCCCCGGAAAGTGTGCCGGCGCTCCCCGGGCATCCCGCCTCGCGTTCTCGGGCGGGCATCGCTCGAAGCAGCATATAGCAGCAACAGGCGGATTTCTTCTATAACAGAGAAACGAAGAATCGCAGATGGTCGAACCTCGTCCCCGGACGATTCCTGGACTATGTTTGGCACGCTCCTCCCGCCGAGGGGCTTGCCCGACGTGGGGCTTCTGGTGCCTCCCGTCCTCGCGAGCCCCTCGGACGACATCGCCTCCGCCCCGGGCGCGGGCCGCGCGCCAGCGGCCGAGCGCGATTGCGCGCGAGCGCGCGCGGGGCGCCCCCGCTGCGCCGCGCCGCGCGGGCCAGGCAGGGGCGCGCGCGCGCGCACGGGCTCGCGGCTCAGAGAGCTGAGGCGGGCGCGACAGCGGCGGCGGGGGGCACACTCGGGCTCCCGTCAAGGTGCCCAGGGACACACACATAAACACACACACACACATAAACACACACACACACACACGCACAAATCCCAGGATCCCCCAGCTTTTCCCCTATCTTCTTGGGGATCGACGATTCGTTGTGCCCGTGTGTGTGTTCTTCCCCCTCTTTTAGCTTTTAGCGGAAGAGGTTCGCTCTCGCCCCGCAGATCAAAAGTGCTTTTTCCCCTCCTGATCCAGGCGGGCGGCGGCGGGCGGCAAGGGGCGCTGTCGGCTGTCGGGCGCCCCCTCGAGACAGGGGGCCTGGGGAGGAGGACACAGGGCGGAGGAGCCGCCCCTGTGACGAGCACCCCTGCAGTCTGAGCCCGTCCTGCCACCAGCACCACAGGGAGGACTCGATCGAGGCGGGGCCGTTTCACAGACGCGAAAGGTGTGTGGGTGGGACTCGCCATCTTGAAGTGTGGCGGTTGCTTGACTGCGCTCGCGAATACAACATTGAAATTCAAAAGTTGTCTACTTCGCCACCGCGCTTGTAGTGTTTACTGTGTGTGGTGGTGTGTGTGTGTGTGTGTGTCTGTCTGCGTGTGCGTGTGCGTGTGCGTGTGCGTGTGCGTGTGCGTGTGCGTGTGCGTGTGCGTGTGCGTGTGCGTGTGCGTGTGCGTGTGTGTGTTAGTTGCGTGTTTTGGGTGCTTGTGTGTGGTGTGTGTATGTTGTGTGTGCGCGCGTGTCGGGCCATTGCCTTTTTGTTCGCGCCGCTTCTTGCGAGGCATTATGTAAGGAGCCCCCCGAAGCATCGAGCCCAACACACGCTCATCTGTGTGACCCCGTCCCTGCGTGTTGATTTGCCTTCTGAACAGGAAAACTGCCCAACAATGCCAGCACCGCGCAATGCCCGTCCGTATTCTCTACCCTCTCGACCAGCCTTCCAGAGACCCTGGCCCCATAGGACCCGCTCTCTCCGTCCCCCCCAAATGGCCCCTGATGGCCCCTGAGACGGTCAAGACGGCCTCCAAGTCGGACAGGATGGCCTTTATGGCCTGCACGACATTCTAAAATTGCTTTCAATACGGCCACGATGGCCTCAAGAGGGACCAAGAGGCTCCCAAACGCCCCAAGAGGCCTCCAAGAGGACCCACAGGAGGGCCCGAAGATGCCAACGTGATTGAATTACCTGTTGTTGCTTGACAGGTTTTAGCGTTGCCGCCTCTTCCGGCTTATGAAACCCCGAGACGGCCCCAAAGGCCTCCAAGATGGCCCTAGGACGGCCCAAGAGGCCACCAAGAGGACCCCAAGACGGCGCAAGAGGGCTCCAAGACGGCCCCCAAGAGATCTCCAAGGCGGTGCTGAGGCGCCCCAGAAAGGCCCCGAGAAATCCCAAAGAGAACCCCGCACGGCCTCACGGCCTGTGAAGGCGTCAGGAGGGCCTTCAAGAGCGCCTGGAGACGGCCCGAGGAACCCCCGAGAGACCCCGAGAGGCCATCAGCAGGCCCCCACAAAGCTTCACAGGAGACATTCCCCGCAGGCGGCCGCCCGAACGCGGTGGCGGAATCGAGCGGCAGCGCAAACTGAATTTATGTCGGCGGTGACCGGTGCGGAGCCCCCCGCCTGGGATGCACGACCCCCGCCACTGGGAAGCACAGATGGCACCGCTGGTGCGGGCCGGCACGAGCCCCTCCGGGACGCATGGACCCCCCTGGGACGCACCGCCGATGCGGCCCGGTACGAAACCCCCCCGAAGCTTCTGGGAGCCGTGCATGTGGGAGCTCCCAGGGAGCGTGTGTGAGCGCCTGGGGTTCTTGGGAGCGCTAAGAGGGCGCCCTGCAACGGCGGCGGCGTCGGCGGCGCAAAGGCGACGGCGAAGGCGAAGGCGACGACGACGAGGAGGAGGACGACGACAACGACGATGACGACGACGAGGACGGCGACGACGACGACGAGGACGGCGACGACGACGACGACGACGACGACGACGGCGACCATGACGACATCCAGAGATCGCTGGAGGCTTCCGGAGGGGGTTCCGGAGGTCCCCACTTCCAGCCCCCCCCACCACTGGTGCCCCCCACCCCACTACCACAGGGGAGGGGGGCGCCGGTGTGCCGGGTCCGAGCCCCCCTGGGAAGGGGGGGGCGCCGCCAGTGCCGCCGGTGCCCAGCCACCCGGGAAGACTCGTGCCACCCCGCACGGCCACGCTGTATCCTGTCGCAGCGCATGCCGTCTGTATGGGATTGCTTGACTACTGAGCGCTGCAGAGAGCGAGATGATGCGATTCCTCCATCGCCTTCTTCTCCTCCCACATTTTCATCCGTCCCCTCCTCCGCTCCAACCTCGCCGAAGCGGACGACGACGACGACGACGACGACGACGACGACGACGACGACGACGACGACGACGACGACAGCGACGGCGACGGCGACGGCGGCGGCGGCGGCGGCGGCGCAGTCGTCGCTGGCCACGTAGGGGGCAGGGCCCCTCAGCCCGACTCGGCTGCAGCGCGCGCGCGACCTCCGCCCCCCTCGCGGGGCTGGGAGTCCTCTCTCAGCCAATGCGCACCTCTGGCGGACCGAGCGCGCAGTCTGACCTCGCAGACTTCCTGCCCTCCGCCTGTGCTGCCGGGTGCGAGACGGCGGTCTCTTCGCGCCTCGCGGCGCCGCCTCTGTGGATGGCGCTGCCTGCCACTGCCGCCCGCCGCCCAGGGGTGCAGTCCTCGTATACGCCGCTTCCCCCGCGCGGCCTCTGCCTCCGCCTCCGCCTCCCCCGGTGGGGGGCC